CTCTATCCGTGACACGCGCGCAGATCGTGGCAGGAATGGCACTTTCTCGACACCGCAGGGGGTGCGCAGAGGGTGGCCCCCCAGCGCGGCCGCTATCCGTGACGCGCTCGCAGATCGTCGCAGGAGCGGCACTTTCTCGACACCACAGAGGGTGCGCAGAGGGTGGTCCTCTATCCGTGACACGCTCGCAGATCGTGGCAGGACTGGCACTTTCTCGACACCACAAGGGGTGCGCAGAAGGTGGCCCCCCAACGCGGCCTCTATCCGTGACACGCTCGCAGATCGTGGCAGGAGTGGCACTGCAAACGGTGGTCCCCCAGCGCGGCCTCTATCCGTGACACGCTCGCAGATCGTGGCAGGAGTGGCACTTTCTCGACACCACAAGGGGTGCGCAGAGGGTGGTCCCCTCAGCGCGGCCCCTACCCGTGACACACTCGCAAGTCGTGGCAGGAGTGGCGCTTTCTCGACACCACAGGGGGTGCGCAGAGGGTGGCCCCCCAGCGCGGCCTCTATCCGTGACGCGCTCGCAAATCGTGGCAGGAGTGGCACTTCCTCGACACCACAGGGGTGCGCAGAGGGTGGTTCCCCAGCGCGGCCTATGTCCGTGACACGCTCGCAAATCGTGGCAGGACTGACACTTTCTCGACACCACAGGGGGTGCACAAAGGGTGGTCCCCCAGCGCGGCCTCTATCCGTGACACGCTCGCAGATCGTGGCAGGACGGGCGCTTTCTCGACACCACAGGGGGTGCGCAGAGGGTGGTCCCCCAGCGCGGCCTCTATCCGTGACACGCTCGCAGATCGTGGCAGGAGTGGCACTTTCTCGACGTCGTAGGGGGTGCGCACGGGGTGGTCCCCCAGCGCGGCCTCTATCCGTGGCACGCTCGCAGATCGTGGCAGGAGTTGCACTTTCTCGACACCACAAAGGGGTGCGCAGAGGGTGGTCCCCCATCGTGACCTCTATCCGTGACACGCTCGCAGATCGTGGCAGGAATGGCACTTTCTCGACACCACAGGGGGTGCGCAGAGGGTGGTCCCCCAGCGCGGCCGCTATCCGTGACGCGCTCGCAGATCGTCGCAGGAGCGACACTTTCTCGACACCACAGAGGGTGCGCAGAGGGTGGTCCTCTATCCGTGACACGCTCGCAGATCGTGGCAGGAGTGGCAGATTCTCGACACCACAAGGGGTGCGCAGAAGGTGGCCCCCCAGCGCGGCCTCTATCCGTGACACGCTCGCAGATCGTGGCAGGAAAGGCACTGCAAACGGTGGTCCCCCAGCGCGGCCTCTATCCGTGACACGCTCGGAGATCGCGGCGGGAGTGGCACTTTCTCGACACCACAAGGGGTGCGCAGAGGGTGGTCCCCCAGCGCGGCCCCTACCCGTGACACACTCGCAAATCGTGGCAGGAGTGGCGCTTCCTCGACACCACAGGGGGTGCGCAGAGGGTGGCCCCCCAGCGCGGCCTCTATCCGTGACGCGCTCGCAAATCGTGGCAGGAGTGGCACTTCCTCGACACCACAGGGGTGCGCAGAGGGTGGTTCCCCAGCGCGGCCTATGTCCGTGACACGCTCGCAAATCGTGGCAGGACTGACTTTCTGAGGGGGTGCACTTTCTCCGACACCAGACAGGACGGGCGTCGACACCACAAGAGGGTGGTCCCCCAGCGCGGCCTCTATCCGTGACACGCTCGCAGATCGTGGCAGGACTGGCACTTTCTCGACACCACAGGGGGTGCGCAGAAGGTGGTCCCCCAGCGCGGCCTCTATCCGTGACGCGCTCGCAGATCGTGGCAGGACTGGCACTTTCTCGACACCACAGGGGGTGCGCAGAGGGTGGTCCCCCATCGCGACCTCTATCCGTGACGCGCTCGCAAATCGTGGCAGGAGTGGCACCTTCTCGACACCACAGGGGGTGCGCAGAGGGTGGTCCCCCAACGCGGCCTCTATCCGTGACACGCTCGCAAAGCGTGGCAGGCGCTGCACATTCTCGACACCACAAGGGGGTGCGGAGAGGGTGGTCCCCCAGCGCGGCCTGTGTCCGTGACACGTTCGCAGAGGATGGCAGGCGCGGCAGTTTCTCGACACCACAGGGGGTGCGGAGAGGGTGGTCCCTCAGCGCGGCCTCTATCCGTGACACGCTCGCAGATCGTGGCAGGCGCGGCATTTTCTCGACACCGCAGGGGAGGCGCAGGGGGTGGTCCCTCAGCGCGGCGTCTATCCGTGACACGTTCGCAGGGCATGGCAGGCGTGGCATTTCCTGGACACCACAGGGGGTGCGCAGAGGTCGGTCCCTCAGCGCGGCCTCTATCCGTGACACGCTCGCAGATCGTGGCAGGAGTGGCACTTTCTCGACACCACAAGGGGTGCGCAGAGGGTGGTCCCCCAGCGCGGCCTCTATCCGTGACACGCTCGCAGATCGTGGCAGGAGTGACACTTTCTCGACGCCACAGGGGTGCGCAGAGGGTGGTCCCTCAGCGCGGCCTCTATCCGTGACACTTGCAGATCGTGGCAGGACGGGCGCTTTCTCGACACCACAGGGGAGGCGCAGGGGGTGGTCCCTCAGCGCGGCGTCTATCCGGGACACGTTCGCAGGGCATGGCAGGCGTTGCATTTCCTGGACACCACAAGGGGGTGCGCAGAGGTAGGTCCCTCAGCGCGGCCTCCATCCATGACACGCTCGCAGATCGCGGCAGGAGTGACACTTTCTCGACACCACAGGGGTGCGCAGAGGGTCCCCCAGCGCGGCCTCTATCCGTGACACTCTCGCAGACCGCGGCAGGCGCGGCGCGTTCTGGACGCCGCGCGGGGGCGCGCAGAGGGTGGTCCCTCAGCGCGGCCTATGTCCGCGACACGCTCGCAGGGCGTGGCAGGCGCGACATTTTCTCGACACCGCAGGGGGTGCGGAGAGGGGGGTCCCTCAGCGCGGCCTCTATCCGCGATGCGCTCGCAGGGTGTGGCCGGAGTTGGGGGCGCTCTCTCTTTCGGGCTTCCAGGGCGCGTCAGGCATAACAGTTCCTCGACGCCAGAGGGCGGCGCATGGGGTGGGGAGTTTCCAGAGATCGACACATGGGACACATGTCTTTGAACCTCGGGCATCCTGACATGTAACACATTGGCTCAAGCCGCCTCAGCGCGCCTAGATTTCCACCCAGACGCGCCCTGCTTCCGTATCTGAAAGCAACACGCGACCCTTTGCTGTGTGCGGCAGTCATGCCGCCGAAAATTGGCATCGCCGCTCTGCCACCTCCGTGCTTGGCGCTGAGGGAGGCACTGAGTGGGATGGGCCTTGAGGTCAATCTGGCAAGGTTGCGCGGCTACAAGGATGCGCATGGATATCTTCTGGTCCGAGACGCATTTAATGCTTACCATCGACAACTCGCCAACTGGTCGCCTCATACTCTTCTCATCAGGTACAACGAGCTGGGTAAAGGAGGCAACGACATGGCAGGAGGCAGTGTCTGATGCGGCACCTGCTGGACCCTTCGTCCGGCGGGTTCCCACTTGATCAGACTGGGGGGGCGGAGGATGGCGATGGCTCGCCGTCGGCGACAGTTCGGCGAGTCGGCGATGCCGGCTACGGGGGCACTGCCACGCCCGCGCAGGCCACGCCAGCGAAATCCACGCCCGTGCAGGCCTCCACCCCTCAGCGGCCCCCAGCAGCTCTGCTTGCTACCTCGGTTCGTTCCATTGGCACCCCTCGCATTCAGCTGCCCCCGGAGCAAGCGGAGACGGACTGCCGTTGGTCGCGACGACCATGGTCGCACGACCTGCGAGAGTCGATTATCCCGGACAGCTTTTTCGCCCAAGCGGATGCGAAGGCGGTCAAATGGCACGAGGAATTCGCAGCCAAGCGAGCCTCCAATCCAGAGTACGCGCCGTCGAGGAGAGGCGACGATGCAGACCTGTGGAAGGCGCTCAACAAGAACTCTACACATGATGGGCCCTACAAAATGGATGTACCCACCCTTCGTTCGTTCGCCTTGCAGCCTGACATGCTCGGCGGGGCCGGCGCCAAGTTCCACGGGGGGGTGAGCGACGTCGCCCCCTGGCGATGGACATTTCGCGCCGCCGCGGAGTCTCATGGCATCGATTCTTTGCGCGTCGTGGAAGGCGTCGCGCACCGCGCGCGGCAGGCTGCCCTGGCAGAGCGGCTGGAGGCGGTGAAGTTTCTATACACAGCTGACCAGGAGGACCCGCGCCCCGACCCGGTCAGGGCCAAGCGCATCACACAGGTGTTCGCTGCTTGGACGGACTTCAGACGCATGGGCCTCGCCCACGCGGATATGTTCTCTTTCGCAAAGGAGAGAATATTCGATTTCTTTGCCAGCGTTACAGACGACCTGTCGAACCTCTACCTGACGTCCGCGTGCATGCCCAACTTCGGGAACACGTGCTACCTCAACGCCGCGGTGCAGGCCCTGATCCACTGCAAGCCTTGGAGGCGTCGGGATGTTTCAATCCAAACGAGCGCGTCGTTCCGCACGGTTGCTCCGGCGCTGCGAGACCCATGACACATCGCATTGCGTTTTGAAAAGCGGCTCTGGGCTACCGCTGAGCTCCCGATTCAGTGCTCGGTTGCCGCGGCCAGCGACTCCTGTCGTTGGGTACCATACGATTTGGAAACACGCCCCCCCCCCCCTGCCCCGCATTCATGGGACTTGGTCGCGTCGAGTGCACGGTGCGTCTGCGTCTGCCAGGCTGGAGATTCTTCGCAGCGGCGAGGCCTACCTGATGCCGCTCGGCCAGTGCCTGAGGCGCTACGTTCTCTCGTATGCCGGGGCCTCAGACGACCTCTGATCTCGATCCTCTCTGGCCCAGTTCCAAGAAATCTTCCACGCGGGCGATTCGGACGACATTCCGCCAGCGAAGGTTCCCAGACTGCACGAGGCCGGCAGCTCGGGCGCTGACCCAGAGTCTCCTTCACAGCGCACTGCGCGCATATACAAGCAACACCCACGAAACCCACGCCCATGAAGTCCACGCCAGCGCAGGCTTTCACTCCGCAGCGGTCTCCAGCACTTCTGCTTGCTACCTCTGTTCGTTCCACAAGCACACCTCGCATTCCGCTGTCCCCTGAGCCGGCTCAGACGGACCGCTGGTGGACGATTCCGGAACGTTCGCCCAGCTTCGGTTGTCGTGGCAACCACGGCCCAGAGATTTTCCATCCAAGGACACTCGCATGTCGCACGCAGGCGGATCACGTTTGCCCTGCAAGTCTTTTGCGCGCACACCTCAGAGACTCTCCGTCGAAGAGACGCGGCGGCAGACGTGTGGAAACTGCATGAGACTAGAAAGAGTAGACCGACCGAAGAAAGAAAAGGAGGCAGGGGTGCGGGAGAACGCAGCATGAGGCGAGGGGGTGTGGTTTGCACCAACTTCCAAGTGGCCCCCCTGACTACTCGAGCTGCGGCAAATCGTTTTGCATCACCTCGTTGGTTGTTGCGATCCCAGGAAACGGACCTCGGTGACCACCTCGAACTTTTCCCCGATAAAGGATTGAATGCGGGGAAGAGGGAGGAGGTTCATTCAGTAGTGTGTTGGATGACAATATAGGAAAACATTCGCGACGAGGGTTTAGAACGCAGGTTTCCGCATAGATGATCATGAAAAGCAAACACAGAATATTTAAACTAAGTATGTGGGGTTCCTCGGTAGCGTCATTGCTCCTTTTCGGCTTTCCGACGACCCGAGACGGCCCAAGAGGCCCCCAAGATCGCCCCCACAGCGCCCAAGAGGCCTCCAAGATGGCCTCAGGACTGCCCAAGATGCCCCAAAGACGGCCCCACGAGGACCCCAAGATGGGCCCAGAGGCCTCCAAGACGCCCAATATGGCCCGCCAAGACAGCCATGGGGCACCCCAGGAGGGCCCCAAGTCGGCTCAAAGAGGCACACCAAACGGCGTCCGACGGCGTCAGACGGGCCAGGAGCCCACCAAGATGGCCGAAGTTGTCTCGAAAAGTGCCCAAGACGGCCCAAGAGGCCTCCAAGAGGGCCTCCAGCAAGGCCAGAAGAGGCAAAACACATTGATTTCCCATAGGTGTTCGAAGGATTTTGACATTTGCTCTGTTTCGGCCTTCCGACAGCCCGAGACGGCCCAAGAGCTCCCAAAATCACCCAAGATCGCCCAAGAGGCCTCCAAGATGGCCCCAGAAGAGGCCCGAAACATTGAGTTTCCTATGGTTGTTGACGGATTTTGACATTTGCTTCTTTTCGGCCTTCCGACGGCCCGAGACGGCCCAAGAGCCCCCGAAGATCGCCGAAAGATCGCCCAAGAGGCCTTCAAGATGGCCCCAAAACGGCCCAAGAGGGCCCCAAGACGGCCACAAGAGGCCCCCAAGACGGCACAGGAGGCCTTTAAGACGCCACAGATGGGCCTCCAAGACGGCCCTGGAGCATTCAAAGAGGGCCCCAAGTCGGACCATAGAGGCCCCCCAAACGGCTTCCGACGGCGTCAGACGGACCAGAAGCCCACCAAGACGGCCGAACATGGCCCTAAGATGGTCCAAGACGGTCCAAGAGGCCTCCAAGAGGGCTTCCAGGAGTGCCCAAAAAGGCCAAAATGATTGATTTCCCATTGGTGTTTGAAGGATTGTGGCATTTGTTGTTTGTCTGCCTTACGACGGCCCAAGACGGCCCGAATGCCCCCAAAGATCGCCCAAGAGGCCCAAGACACGGCCCCAAGAGGCCCCCAAGACGGCCCAAGAGGTCTCCAAGACGCTCAAGATGGCCTCCAAGACGGCCCAAGAGCCCTCCAAGACGTCCTCCAAGAAGGCCCGAAAGGATCAAAATCGCCTCCAGACGGCCAAGGTGACCTTCAAGATGCCCACGTGTTCCCCGAAGGCTGTCCAAACCGATTCGGGGAACCGACTCGGGGAACACAAGGTCCGATAGCTTGGCAGGTCTGGCCTCAACGTTCGGCCACATAGGCGCTTCCAGAAAGGCAGGGGGCGGCGGTGATTCGCCGTAGGCGTCTTCGATAATTTCTTCAAATTTCCAGTGACGGTCGTTACCCTGTTATTGGTAACGCGTGGGCGGGATGAGGCAGGTCGGGGCGGGGGTGTACTGCGACTGCCATATGTACATGCGCGCGAGCACCAGCATGTGAGGGGGGGTGCATGCCCCCTCTCCTGCGTACGATCGTTACAAGTACCCCGGGGAGGGGGAGTGGGGCTGGGTAGCGAGAGTTACGCCCCAGAGGAGAAAAGGCAAGCTCCAAATGTACATTACTGATCGTCTCACCCTTGGCCGACGATGCGTTACAAGCGCCAACTGGATAAACAATCCTCGCTGGCCAACAGGCAGTCAACGGCCCTGTGCCATCCAACTAATTGCGAGACCTCATGATATCCCAATGCACTGCCATGTGATATGATTACTCGTCTCCAAACACCTGTATATCATCGTGGAATCTCCGCACTGGAATCGTTGTTCGACTGCGAATTCTCGAATGCTTGGGAAGCTGGCCGCCACAAGGAGGGAGCAATGCTAGTCCAGCAACTACCTAAGCCACACCATGGACGCATGCGCAAGCGTGCCTGGCGAACATCGTTGCCCGTCTCGTAGGCCCGCACCTTGAGACGCGCGAGGAAACCCTTGCTGATCTTGCCCAGACTCTCATCCGTTCGAATTCGCTGCCACTTACCTGCCCTTCGTGGCCCTCGACCAGCACTCAGTTACAAGGGAGAGAGAGAGCCTCAATGGCCAATGACTCGAGCACGAACGTCTCGAATACTCTGACCCGTGTGGGCTGCACAAGATCGGGGAGACGTGAAACTCGGATTAAGGGGGACTCGGGTTGGCCTGACGGGGCCATCCTAAAAAACAAAGAGACCCAAACTGAAACTTGACGCGAGCTCACGCTGCAAGCATCCCACGAAAATCGGATCGTCAAAATCCAGGATGCGCTCGTCAAAAAGGGTCGGCAAACCCGAGTTCGGGCTTACTCGAGTCTTACGTTTCCGCGACAAGAGAAAAGTCGGGTCTGTCCTCCTACAGGGAGACTTGACGAGAAGTGCAAAAGTGTCAAAACTTGCCCCAGAATGGCCAACAGATGCTCAACAGATCGTCCCCCGACTGTGTTCGGACTGTGTTTGGACACTCCTCCCGTAGAGGGACACGCCCGACTTGAGCCTACTCTAGGGGAACAAACAATGACATAAACATAAAAACTCGGAGGTCCGCGCGGATTTCCGTTATGTTTATGCCACTTTTTGTTCCCCTAATTCTTTCCGTGCCCATTTCGGGCGTCCAAAACGTTTGGGTCCAGCCCTGACCAAAAGATGCCGATACCGCTACTCCCCGGACCTCTCCCACGGGCCCGCTCTGGCCGAGTAGCTCAAGGCGGAGCCAGTCGTGGGCACAAGGGCATGGGTATGGTCCACCTTCGCCTCGTTTTCGGTCAGGTATGTCCTCCTACAGGGAGATGTTGGACGAACATGTAAATTCATCACACAATACCCGCAAGCAAAAAAAACAAGAACGTCCTTCAACGATCGTTTGACTATCTTTGGATACTCCTCCTATAGAAGGAACCCGACTTAAACCTCGTTCCCCTCTTCCTCTTCCCGCGATCTCGAGAGGGCAGGTAGGACAAGGAAGGACCAGCTGTTGATGGCCCACGACTGGCCAGAGGCGGCGACCAGAGGAACAAAACTGCATAAACATACACCTTCGACCGACCGCGCGGATTTCTTAGATCTGGCGCCGCCAGGGGGGGGCCCAGCGCAGATCCAAGAAACCCGTTGTTCTTCTTCGAGCGACGGAAGGCCACGAATGGGGGGGCATCCGAGCGATGCTTATCAGAAGCGCAGGCTGCACGGGACTTGAGCGCCGGTGACTCTTGAGGGGTCGGCTTCGGGCAGGGTTCCTGCCCCCCGCGCTCCCCCCCTCATCCTCCCCCTCCTCCTCCCCCCCCCCTCCTCCTCCTCCTCCTCCTCCTCCTCCTCCTCCTCCCTCCTCCTCCTGGTCCTCCTCCTCCTCCTCCTCCTCCTCCTCCTCCTGGTCCTCCTCCTCCTCCTCCTCCTCCTCACCTTCGTCTTCCTCCCCCGCTAACCACCCGGGCAAGCGGGCAACCGACCACCCAACCGCCCACCCACCCACCCAACCAACCAACCAACCAACCAACCCACCAACCACCAGCCAACCAACGGGCCAACCATCGTACCAACCGCCCAACCAACCAACCAGCCAGCCAGCCAACCAACTAACCGACCAACCCGCTAACCAACGATCCATCCCAAGAATAACTGACCTGGAAACCGGTGAGCAAACCAATCAGCCAACCAGCCAACCAACCCACTCACCAACCAGCAAACCAAACCCAACTAATCAACCAAGCGACCAACCGCCCGATCAATCAACAACCAAACAATCCACTAACCAACCAACCAAGCAAGCGCCGCCCAACCAACCAACCGGCCAAACACCCCGGGGAACAAAAAAATATTGGCCCGGAATCCGGCGAGCCAACCAGCCAACCCACGAAGCGGCCAGTCCTCCCCGAAGGATTGCTGGAGGATGTCCCAGGCCGCTGGGGCCGTGAAAGGAATTTTCTGACACGGATAAAGGGTCTTCACCCTGAAAGACAAATTACCCTGAAAGCGTCTCCATGGGGCGAGGGGAGGAGGGGGGGGGCCGTGCGAATCTAAATTTGTCGGTGCAGAGGGCGCACTGGGCTGCTGGGGGACAGTCTGGGGAACGGGGGCGGGGGCGGTGTCCTGCGGAGGTGGGGGATGGGGGCGGCTCGAAAAGGTCAGGGAGACGTAAAACTCGGGTACGGGGGACTCGGGTTGGCCTGACGCTGCCATCCTAAAAATGACGAGACCCAATCTGAAACTTGACGCGACCTCACGCTGCAAGCATCCCACGAAAACTGGACCCTCAAAATCCATGACGCGTTTGTCAAAAAAACGTCGGCAAACCCGAATTCGGGCTTACTCGAGTCTCACGTTTCCGCGACAAGAGCAAAGTCGGGCCTGTCCTCGGGGGGTTCTTGACGAAAACTAAAATGTAGCCAAAACCTACCCCCAGATGGCAAAACAATGCTCAACAACTGCTCAACAAATCGTCGGCAAACCGGCGCTTCGGCTTACGCAAATCTTGCACTTCCTCGGAGAGGCAGCCGTCGGGGCGGATGGGGCGCTGGGCCGCGCGGGCAACCAGTGAGGAAAAGGGGGCAGGGGCCGTGTTCTGCGGGGGGGGGATCAAGGGGGGGGACAGGGGCGAGGGCGGTGCCCTGCGGGGTGGGTATGGAGCGAGGGGCACGAAGTAGGAAGGCGAGAAAGTCGGCTGGGTTCGGACCCTTTTCCAGAGAGCAGCAAAACACAACAACAGCAGATCGGTTCTTGACATAGGGAAGCGCTGGAAGTAGACTGGGACATGGGGGAGAGGGGGGCGGAGCGAAAATGGCATGGTCTGGGCGGAGGGGGGCACAGGGCTGCTGGGGGGGCAGTGGGAGAGGGGGCGGGGGCCAGTCTGGTGCTCTGCGGGGAGGATGCGAGGGGAAGGGGTGCGACGCAGGAGTGAAATTGTCAGGGCGGGGGGGGCAATGGGCTGCTGGGGGGCAGCGGGGAGGGCGATGCCAACATAAAGTAGTCGGGGCGGAGGGGGCCCTGGGCTGCTGGGGGGCCGTAGGGAAAGGGGGCGGGGGCGGCGTCCTGCGGGGGTGGGAGGGGAATCGGTGCGAAAATGGAACGGACGGGACTGAGTGGGCACCGGGCTACGGGGCGGTGCGACATAAAGGAAGCACTGGGCGGCTGGGGGCACTGGCGGGAGATGCGGAAGTGGTGTTCATCTCGGGGCGACTCGCGAGTGGAATGGTCGGGGCGGAGCGGCACTGGGCTGGTGCTGGAAAGTGGAAGAAGTGGGCGGTGTAGGTGTCTTGTGGGGGGGAGGGGGGTGGAAGGGGTGCGGTGCGAAAACCAAAGTTATCGGGGTGGAGGAGGGGGCACTGGGCGCAGAAAGCCCTGGGCCGCTGGGGAACACCTGGGTTGCTGGGAACACGGTTTTTTTGAAAACGCTCTCGGACAAGAGGTTGGGGAATAGAAAGGGGGTCGGTGCGGAAATAAAATGCTCGGTCCGGAGGAAGCCGAATCGCTGGGTTGCTGGGGATGGTGGGGAGAGGGGGCGAAGGGCTGCGTCCTGCGGAGGGGAAGGGAGGGGGGGGGAGGGGGCGGTGCGAATATAATATGAACGGGGCGTAGGAAGCTTTGGGCAACTGGGGGGCCCTGGGTTGAGGGGCGGGGGCGGTACCCATCTGGGGGGAGGGGAGGAGGGAGCACAGGGCTGCTCCTGGACAGCGGGGGTAGTGGGGCGGGGGCGGTATCGTGCGGGGGGGGGATGGGGGGGGTGCGGTGCGACATTAGAGTGGTCGGGGCGGAGGGGGCACTGGTATCAGAGGGCATTGGGATACTGTCGGGACTTGTGGGGTAGCGGAGCGCCAGAAGGGCCTTCCACAACCCTCGCGAAGGACCTTTGGGATAACTTTTGGAGAGAGCTTCGGAAGGAACTTCTTGACACCTTTCGGACGATGAGAGAAAGCCTTCCAGGACAGTTTTTGGGTTCACGAAATTGCTGCCGCAGCGAGTTGCTTGAACCGAACATATGTTGCTGGCGTCGGCCAAAGAATGCCGTAGCCTGCCGAAATCTTTGACCGACACCAGCACGATATCCGGGGCAACCCTGCGCTGCTGGTTTCTTGTTTTGAGGTCCTCTCAGCTCTCAGAAAGCAATGCGGGAACTTGTGGCGTACCGATCCCGGATGTCGGAGCAGTCCCAAATCGCGTGGACGCCTGTGGGAGACGCTTGCAAGGACGCTGGAAAGCGTGTCTGGGGAGCCTGCAAGCTCGAGAAAGGAGCCTCGCAGGAGCTCGAGCTGCGGAGAGGCCTGCGGCAAACGTATTTGGAACGAGCAGGTCAACGCTTACCAGAGCACGCTGCAAAATCTGGCGGTGGCGGCCTGCTGCGAAGCTCCCTGCCTGGCGACGGAAAGAGCTCCGGGGCGGCCCTGCTCTGCCGGCTTCTGGTCTGCAGCCCTGACAGCTCTCAGATAGGTATCTGGGAAAGCTTAGGCCCGGATAGCGGAGCGCCAGAGAGGTCTTCCAACACTTCTCGCAGGGGGGGAAAGGAGAGGGTGGGAGGGGAAAGTAGCCTGACGTCCCAGAAGTGGAATTTCGGCACGGTGCTGAAATTGGAACTGTGTTCTGGCACGATTTCAGGATCGTCACGACCCAAATGGTATTGCTGATTCGCGGCGGTGAAATCCCAGGAATAATGTTCTAGCACAGTTGGACTCCGACGGTGGTCTTCCAACGGGACATGTCCCGCGGTGGCAGGAAATCCTTGCAGGGGCCTATGAAAAGGTAACTCGGTGGGAGGGTTTATTGAAACATCGTTGATGCGCCTTGGATTTGTATCCCCAGCTGTCTGGACCTGCCATGCGCGGAGCGCCTCGAGAATCAAGGCACGCCGATTTTTCTGGAAGAGAGCTCGCCACCAGCGACGCGTACGACAGAAGCCTGCACCTCGAGGTCTTTACACTGGGCATCCTCCTCCTCCTCCTCCTCCTCCTCCTCCTCCTCCCACGGGCGGGCCGCGGGTCTGGCCGGCCGAGCTCTTTGGCCGGGAGCCGGCGCACTCCCCCACCACCTCTCGAACGAGGCGGTTCCCCCTTTCCTCTCCTTCCTCCTCCTCCTCCTCCTCATCACCAGCATCTTTATCAGCGGTTGCAGTAGCATCGTGATGTTCCTCCTCCTCCTCATCATCATCACCATCATCATCATCACCATCATCATTATCAGCGGTTGCAGTAGCATCGTCATGGTCACCATCGTCATCATCACCACCACCACCACCACCATCATCATCATCATCATCATCATCAGCATCAGCATCATCATCATCATCATCAACAACATCAACAGCAACAGCAGCATCGTCATCATCATCATCATCATCAGCAGCAGCAGCAGCATCGTCATCAACAGCTACAGCGGCATCATCATCACCAACACCATCATCCTCGTCATCCTCGTAGTCTTCTTCCTCCTTCTCCTCATCATCACAAAACCACCTCACAACCACTCTCATCATCAGAAGCACCACCAACACCATCATTATCACCACCACCACCACCATCACCATCACCATCACCATCAGCATCAGCATCAGCAACATCATGAGGCAGAGCATCATCATCATCATCATCATCAGCAGCAGCAGCATCATCAGCATTAACATCATCATCATCATCAGCATCATCATCATCATCATCATCATCATAATCATCATAATCATCATCATCATCATCATCGTCATCGTGATCATCATCAGCATCATCATAAAGCATCATCAGTATCAGCATCATCATCATCCTCGTCATACGCATCCTCAACATACTCATCGTCATCAGCAGCAGTAGCATCAACATCATCAGCATCATCATCATCAGAATCCTCCTCCTCCTCCTCATCATCAGCATCATCGTCTTCATCCTCATCCTCCTAAACGTCGTCCCCCTCATCCTCCTCATCATCTTCGTCCTCGTCTTCGTAGTCCTCATTGTGTTACTCCTCATCCTCATCCTCCTCCTCCTCCTCATCATCATCATCCTCATCATCCTCCTCCTTCACCTCCTCCTCCTCCTCCTCCTCCTCCTCGTTATCATCCTCGTACTCATCCTCCTCCTCCTTCTCATCCCCGTGCCTCTTCCTCCTCTTCCTCCTCTTCCTCCTCTTCCTCCTCGTCCTCGTCCTCGTCCTCGTCCTCCTCCTCCTCCTCCTCCTCCTCCTCCTCCCTTCCTCGTCATCCTCCTGCTCCTGCTCCACCCCCCGCTGCGATCCCGCTCCGGCGCAGGCCCTCCCGCCGCAGCTCCCGGGTCCACGGTGCGCACCCGTCGTTCGGAGGCGGCGGGCAGACACGCGAAGCAGGGCGGCGCCGCGAATCTGACGAGAATCACGGGTCTCGAGGGGAACCCCGAGCTGAAGGTCGCTCGGGGGGCAGCGTTGTTTCCTGAGCCAGATCCCCGTACGCTCGGCGGGCGCGCTTGATCGGTCAACAGCAATCCTTACAGCCGCCCTTCGCGAGAAGCTTTGACTTCAGGTTTACTCTTGCCGACGATTGGGCTGCTCATGCTTGCTCTTGCCCTGCAAAAGCATTGCCCTCTCCCCCGTCGCCCCAGAAACACAGATCGCGTTCGCTGCCCCTCAGCGAGCTTCAAACCCCGAGACCCAAATGACGTCGGATCCACGTCGGCCGCGTCGGATGTGCGTGGGCGCCACGTCGGCTTCGCGCCGACCCTGCGCGGGGTGCACGTCGGAACCGCGTGGGAACAACGTCGCCGCGCGAGCGCCTCCTCGCGTCTGGACGGGGCGGACGTGCGGACCGGATTTTTCAATGCTCCTAGTGCGCGCCGCACGATAAAGGGGCCCTGGGACACACAAATAAATACACACAAATAACAGGATTCCCCATATTTTCCCATATTCTCTGGGTTTTTGTCTTCCCCCCCACTTCCCATATCTCCCCATATTTTCTGTGGAATCGACGATTAATTGTGTCTGTGTTTTTTTTCCCTCCTGACACGAGGCCTCCAGGACTTCCTCCCAGAAACTCGAAGTTGAGTTTCCGCCCGCCGAGGAACGAGGCAAAGAAAGAGCCACTCGGATCGTGGAGCAGGAAGTTGCCCAGAGCGGACGGGCACCCAGGCCAGGATCTCCTCCTGAAGAGCCGAATTGAGTTTCCGCCCGCCGAGAAACGAGGAAGAGAGAAAGCTACTCGAATCGTGGAACAGGGAAGTTGACCAGAGTGGATGGGAGCCCAGGAGCAGAAAGCAGGAAGGCGCCGAGCATCGATCGGGCTTCCGCACGCCGAGGAGGAAGACGGAAGGCCACTCGATTCTTGGAACAGGAGGCCGCCTGGAGTAGATGGGAGAATGAGGGACCGAAGACTCCCCAACTTCTGGGCATGCTTATGTCGGGCGTGTCCCCCTACAGGGGATTTTCGACGAGAAATAACAAATACCCCCAAATACGAGAAATAACAAAGAACGAGAAATAACAGATACAAGAAGGCCAAAACATACTCAAAAAATAATCCCCAGACTATGTTTGGACTATTTGCTGATTATGTTCGGGGTATTTTTTACTTTTCGTCGAAAATCCCCCTGTAGGGGGACAGGCCCGACTCAAGGGTACGCCCTCTGGGCCACGCTGGGAGGGCCGCGCGCACCGGTCCCAACCCCGGTCTTTCGTGACCGCACCCTGGAGGAGCCGCGTCAGGCCGCGGCGGGGCTTCGGCGGGACACCCCGAAGACGCACCTCCGGCGGCCTCTCCCGCGCTTCCGCCGACCAGCCATAACTGGGGGGGGGAGCTGTGGTCCTTACCCCCTCTGGGGGAACCCATCGCCTCGACGAGCTCTCGAGAGGGGTGTCGAAATCGATGGGTCCCCCAGGGGGGAAGGACCACAGCTCCCCCAGTTGTGGCTGGCCTGTTCCGCCTGGTTTCGCTTGCCTTGTTCCATCCCGCGTGCGCCCCTGCCCGTCGCTGCCGGCGCGCTCTCTCGGCGAGGCCCCCGCCGGAGGCGCCCCGAGGAGGGGCGCCCCCTGGGGAATATGGACTCCCCGGGAGAGGGGGGGGGGGGGGATCCTCGGGCGCGCAGAGCCGAGCGCGCGGGGGGGGAGGGAAAGGGGGGAGCGAGGGAGGGAGAGCGGGCGGGGGGAGGGGACGATAGGGGTACGGGGACGAGGAGGGGTGGAAAGGGAGGGAGCGAGGGAGGGGGGCGAGAGGGAGGGAGGGGGGGGAGCGAAGGAGGGGGAGCAGGCAGGGGAGGGAGGGCGAGGGTGTGGGAGCCGAGGGGTAGGATCCTCAGGATGGGGAAGTGGATCTGGGGAAGCCAAAACAGAGGCCTCCCAAAAAGGGTCCCAGTAGATGGGGTTGGAGGATCACGAGGCATCGCCGACGCATCGGCGATGCATCGACGATTCATCGGCGATGCATCAGCGACGCCTGCGATGCGTCGGCGACGTCGGCGTGGAGAAAGTCGGGCTCCACATCGAGCCGCATCGGCGATGCATCGGCGATGAGGCGGGAGTCTCCTAAACAAAAGGTACCGATATCGCTTCTCCCCAGACCTCTCCTGGGGTGCGTTCTGACCAGGATTTCGAGGCGACTCCAGCGGTGGCGATGGGGGTCTCCCAGGAGGCCCCCCAAAAGGGGAAAATGCACGAAGGGTAGAGGTATGGGTACCTTTTCCTTCTCTGAGGATCGGGCGGGAGAGGGGGAGGTGTGATGGGCCGATTCCACCACCACCACCACCATTACCATACGAAGGCGAGGAAGAGGGAGGAGGAGGAGGAGGAGGAGGAGGAGGAGGAGGAGGAGGAGGAGGACCTGTCCGTCCTCCCTTCTCCTCCGTCCTAGCTATGGCAGTTAGTGGTCGAGAAGTGGGCCCATCAAGGTGGGGTGGGGGCGTCCGGGCGTCGCACCATCTCCAGCGCCTTGGCGCCCTCCCCGGACATGGCGGCCCACCTGGCGCCCGGCGGTGCCCCCCGCGCTCGGAGGCGCGGGGGGGAGACGGGAGAAGAGAACGGAGTGGACGGAGTGGACGCCAGGACGATGCCACTCGGAAGCCGGGCAAGGGCTGCAAAAATCCGTGGCTGCTAAAATCGACCAGGAAGTTGTCTTCGTCCTTCCGGGAAGAAGCCCGTTGGCTGTTTCGCGTGCCGCGCCTCATTCCGGGAAGTTGTTTTTTCCTTCCGGGAGGGCCGTTTTAGCAGCCAGGGTTTTGGCAGCCCTCGCCCAGCTTCCGAGCCACAGCACAGAACACGTGCCCCTGACCCCACAGAGCAGCGCGGTGACACGTCGCGCGGGCGAAAAAAAGGGGGGGCTGGGAGGGGGAGGGGGAAGGGGGACTCGGACGGGAAGGGGGGCATCTTGGAGAGAGGAGACGGGGGGAGGGGGGATGCGAGAGGACGGAGGGAGGAGGGATCCGCACACGGCAGGTGGGAGGAAGAGGATGGGGGAGAAAGACGGGGAAGAGGAGGAGGAGGAGGAGGAGGATGAAGGATGAGGATGAGGAAGGCGAGGATGAGGATGAGGAGGCGAGGATGAGACGGGGCTGGCCTAGCGGACAGAATGCATGGACGCTGTTGGGCGCTAATTGAGCGCTGTTCGGCGATACTGGGCGCACTGGGCTTCACTCAAAGACGAGTAGACGCTTTCGTGATCTACTTTCCAACGAGAAGCCTGCAGGAGCCCCCAAAAATTAGCCTGGCGAGGCACCCGACCATTTTCCATATGGGGCCACGAAGCTTGTGAGGGGTGTGCCAGAATGTGCCCGACTAGCCATGCGGACGCAGCCACTGGGGCCTTGGATAGAGCTCCCTATGGGGCCACGAAGCGTGTGAAAAGGTGTGCCAAGGATGTGCCCGAGTAGCCACGCGACCGCATCTACTAGCACCTTCGGTACGGCTCCGTGTTGGGCCACGAAGCGAGTGAAGGTGTGCCAGAACGGACCGAGTAACCATGCGGACGCTACAATTGGTTCCGTCGGCAGAGCTCACTATGGGGCCACGAAGCGAGTGAAGGGGTGTGCCAGGATGGACCCAAGTAGCCATGCGGACGCAGTTACTGGGGCCTTCGGTGAAACTCCATATGGGAGCCACGAGGCGTGTGAAGGGGTGTGCCAGACTGGACCCGAGCAGCCATGCGGACGAAGCCACTGGGGCTTTCGGTGAAGCTCCATGTTGGGCCACGAAGCGTGTGAAGGTTTGTGCCGAAATGAACCCGAGTAGCCATGCGGACGCGGCCACTGGGGCATTCGGTGGAGCTCCCTGTGGGGCCACGGAACGTGTGAAGGGAATGCCCGGATGGACCCGAGTAGCCATGCGGGCGCAACCATTAAAACCTTCAGTGGAGATCCCTGAACCGCGTGAATGATGTGCCAGGAAGGACCCGAGTAGCCATGCGGACGCAGCAACTGGGGCCTTCGGTGAAGCTCCCTCTGAGGCCACGAGGCGTGTGAAGGGGTGTGCCAGGATGGAGACGTGTAACCCTGCGGCCGCAGCAACTGGGGCCTTCGGTGAAGCACCATCTGGGCCACGAGGCGTGTGAGGGGTGTGCCCACGTGTAACCATGCGGACGCAGCCACAGGGGCCGAAATGGACCCCGCCGAGTAGCCATGCTACCGCAGCCACTGGGGCCTCCAGTGAAGCTCCCTATGGGGCCACGATGCGTGTGAAGGAGTGTGCTAAGATGGACCCGAGTACAGCAGGAGCTCGACCACAATAACCTTCCACAAAAAGCCCAACCCTGGAACCCCAGTGTGTGTGTGTGTTTTTGGGTTCGTCATGGTTGGCATACGAAACTATCGAATCCCAAGAAAACCAGGGCACCCCGGAGGCAAGCAGGGTGTTCTTGGCATGGGTTTCCACTGTAGCCATGTGGACGCAGCCACTGGGCCCTTCGGGGAAACAACCTATGGGGCCACGAAGCGTGTGAAGGGGTGTGCCAGCATGAACCCACGTAGTCATGCGGACGCAACCACTGGAACCTTCTTTGAAGCTCCATGTGGGGCCACGAACAGTGTGAATGGGTGTGGCAAAATGGACCTGAGTAGCCATGCGGGCGCATTCATTGGGGCCTTCAGGAAAGCTTCTTGTGGGGCCACGAAGCGTGTGAAAGGGGTGTGCCAGGATGGACCCGAGTAGCCATGCGGACGCAGCAACTGGGGCCTTCGGTGAAGCTCCCTCTGAGGCCACGAGCGTATGATGGGTGTGCCAGGATGGAGACGTGTAATCATGCGGACGCAGCCACAGGGGCCGCCGAGTAGCCATGCTACCGCAGCCACTGGGGCCTCCAGTGAAGCTCCCAATGGGGCCACGATGCGTGTGAAGGAGTGTGCCAAGATGGACCCGAGTACAGCAGGAGCTCGACCACAATAAACCTTCCACAAAAAGCCCAACCCTGGAACCCCAGGACGTCCATTGTTTTTGTTTGGGGGTTCGTCATGGTTGGCATACGAAACTAT